GGCAGACCAATCATTTCTTTAGACAATTCACACACAATCTCGGTCAGATAGAGATACACAAAAGCAGGCTTCTTTATCTAGTGTGGGATTTTGCTGACTGACATTTTAAATGGGACTGGTTTATCATGTTAAGTGGTAGCTAGCTTATTAAGAATCTCGATAAAAGAGTTTTGAAGATGCACTTGATGGTTTCAGACATGATGTTCTGCCAAATGATAGATAGCTACAAAAACAGGCAGAATGTCAGCATCCTCTTCAGTTGATAATGCACAACGAAATATGTTACAGAATTGCTCTTGTATTGCAGTGTAGAGCTAGGCCTTATGGTGAGAAAAAGTATGACATGGAAAATGTGACTTATGTATTTCTAATGCAAACCTGTTGGTCTACTTGGATTCAATTTGTTTTCGTATCTTCATATGGTATTTTTCACATTGAACGTTACAAGACTTAAATAATATAGGATGAACACTGACTGTTAGTACTTTCTGTTTGCAGTGTCCCAATAGACATCTGGTGGAACACATGGATACTAAAAGAAACAGAAAGATTTCAGGTAACTACTGCATGAAGTAGACTAGTTAGCTGGACATGCATGCAGCCTCATTTAGAACATACAAAAACATTTGATCAATTATCAACCTTTTTTGTGATTTTGGTTTAGAAAAACTCCTAAAATCCAAAGCTATGTGAGCTTTGTCCTATTCTGAATCTCTGTACTTGCTACTTTGGCTTTTGCACTCTCTTTCTCTGTTTTCTTTCACCAATCGTTTTGGACAGCAGCCTAACTGTAATCAGAGTCAAACTACAGTCTTCAATTAACATTGATTAATGAATTCTTTCCTCTTTGAACCATTAGTTAATGTTATTACAAGAAGGTAACTTAAGCAGGCTCATTTTTTAAAGGAACCACAATTACCATAAATACTGACAACAGCTGGGATTGTGTATTGTGTGTTGGCAACGGCCCCTTATCAGGCCTGATTAATGGATTGGCAGGACAGATGAATCGAGAAACGTTCCAGCCTCATGAAATTCAACTCACGATTTGTTCTTTCCTTTTCTTTTCTTTTCTTGCTTTGGTTACTTCCAAGGAAAATATTTTATCAGTGAGACATGATGTCTCATCTATGAATATATTATTTATTATAATTACTTACAACAGTACATGTAAGGTTCTTTACTCAAACAGGCGTCATTATGTTGTTCCATTCTATGGTATTTTGGTTGATGAATGATCTCTACACAAAATCATTACAATTATGGAAAAGGTACAAGCTGGATCAGTGGGAAAAATGTAAGAGCAAGAATAGCTTTCCTGCTTAAATTCTTAACATTTAACCATTTATTTTGTAGGCAGTAATGTGCTGATACAATGTTTAAAGGGGACGTGAACACATTATTGTGAGTATCTACAGTACATGTACGGCTTGAGAACTACCTTTGCAATTTTTTCTTGCAGGCCAATCAGAGCAGACTTCAGGCAATAACTAAAATGGAGCGTTTCAGACAGAGGTTAGTTAAAGGTATATTTAGACAGACAGTATGAAAATAATGTTTTGTTGAACATTCAATTGTGTAAACATGTTCGAGTAGAAATAATTCAGAACTTAGTTGAAAAGTGAAATATTGCACACCAACACAAATGCATTATTATCACAGAAACAACCTAAATGTCACTGTTAATTCTCACCTCTGGAAATAGAAGAATACTTTTCATCCCTTTGGATGCCACCTTTATGATCTGTGTTGCATGTGTTTCATGTCCTAGTAATACCAAGCATTTAAAGGCATTAACACAAGAACACATTATTAAAAAAAGAAAAAAAAAGCTTGTATGTGCTTTTGTTGGAAGTGCTGAAAAGTGTTTAAAGAAGACGGTGCATCTAAAATACGTAACTTTTTGGCAGTAAGAAGAGAACATTGAAACAAACATTCAGTTGCCAGTTTATTAAGTGCACCCAGCTAATACTAATCCAACGATATATAGTTAAAACAATGCAGAAAACCCCAAATTGTTTAGGTTTGTGATTTCCTTTTTACTGTTTTAATAATTTGAGCATTAATTAACCTTCATAAATGCAACCTTGATCGAGTCTCCTAATAACCATCCATTAAAACTCCAGCCTTTAAAAAAAGAAACAAAGTGCTCCAAAACTGAACATTAAAACATTAATGAAGGTAGAAGTGTTGCATTAGACTGCAATAGTTCTAAGTTGTTTGATGTCAAAGCCATAATTGCACATTGTCCGGCATCATCTTTACACTCTAATGGGTGCTGGTAAAATAGAGTGGAAACAGTAAACCCTTAAGGAGTCAAAATGATTATAAATGTGTTTGTCTGTCTTTATCTAGGCTCTTTGAAAAACTGGCAAACCGTTCATTCTTCCCTGCCTGTTGCCCAGTGCATGCTGGGATGTGCTCCAGTCTCCTGTGACCCTGAACAACAACAAGCAGATGTAGAAGATGGATGGATGTCTTGGCTGCAGGTAAGAGTCATTTTCCAAACAGCTAAATGAGCCATTTGTCTGCAGGGTCAGCAGTGACTCTGACCTCTGGTTATCAGCACAATTTGTCAATTTGTTATACAGAGCAGGAAGTTTCAATATAAGAGTCAACTGTCATTAAATCTGGACTGGAATGTAAGAAGCCGAATAATATCAATAAAGCATTTGTAAATGTTTTATGCCAGTGTGATAATCACAGTAGAAGCTCTGAATACTGGTCAGTGGCATTTAATCTACCAATACAAATATATATATGATTAACTCTGATGCTGTTCTTCATTTAGAAGTTGAGTCTTTTACCAGCTCATTTCCATTATAGCTATGTGAATAAGTTGCATGGCATACAGACGTGTATGTTGGTTGTCGTATGTTGGTATGCATGGATTCCAAAAGTGCAGAGAGAGGGTTAAGCCTGTGTCTGAAATAGCCACATCTTTGAACAATACTGGTCACACACACACACACACACACACACACACACACACACACACACACACACACACACACACACACACACACAGTATGTCAGTTAGTTTGTGATATGTTAAACGTATTCTTAAAGAATATGAATATATAATCTCATGTCTGCCATTTTGACTCTCATACAACAGGCAATATATTAAGTCTTCCTGCTAAAATAGTAAATATATTAGATAATAATACGTTGAATCCTTTACATTTTGTCAGACCGACAGTCTTGTAATTGTGCTTATATCTGATTATTGCAACAACAAAAAAAGTGTTTGATTCAAGATCAACAAAGTGATTGCCACAGTAGAACATGGGGCATTTGGGGACCCTGGACAGTTTTCCCAGGTAATTCAAGTCAATGTACCTATAACCATTAGAGTTCAATTTACAGAAAATGCCCATGTTATATAATGGGGGCTTGCAGCAACTGACCACACTGGAGAAGCTATAACCAGCACATGTTTTCAGTGACCTAAACGGTTGATCTCACTCTCCTCACTTGTACTATAATTACATAACCTAGTGTGACATTATGTACCGCACACTCACTTTCTTTCCACCTCTCCTCTGTGTCCTTTGACATGCATAGAATACCTTTTGAGAAATAACCATAAATAACTCTCACTTTGTCACATGGCCCGGCCATATGGTCTAAATCTGCACTACAAAGACTCGCCATGCATGTGACAATGAGACGCTATGAAGAGTCGGACCCATTCAGCTCTGTTCTGTGGCTCACGATGATACAGCCTGTTTTTCACAGTCGGCTCAGCAGCTAAAGGCCTAAGAATATGCCTGACCCACACTTTGCTTGAAAAAAAATCAGATTGCGCCTCTTGCCATAAGCCACATTATGTAAGTGTTAAATGTGAGGAATCAAGGAGTGTGTGTGTGTGTGTGTGTGTGTGTGTGTGTGTGGTGTGTGTGTGTGTGTGTGTGTGGTGTGTGTGTGTGTGTGTGTGTGTGTGTGTGTGTGTGTGTGTGTGTGTGTGTGTGTGTGTGTGTGTGTGTGTGTGTGTGTGTGTTCAGTTGTGAGAGCAGGTGTTGAAAATATCTTGTTGGAATAGTTCCTCTGAGGATATAAAAAACATGCAATAAATGATTATATGCAGATGCAGTGATAATGTGCTGAGGAATGCAGAAGAGCACTGATGAAAGGAGTAACGTGTACTAGTTTATTTAACTTTATTTATTCAATATATTCTGTGTCTTTTGTGATCCTATCTGTAAATCAGGTGACACCGTGAAGGATACACTTTGCACCAAGTTAAAATGTTTAGCTTTCAACATTTGAAATGAGAAGGGAGTTTAGGCTGATAAATGTAGTGAAACTACAAAATGTCCTGGCCCTATGTGACACAATGTCCTCATGCTACAGCTACACCTAATGTAAGGGTGAGAATACTTTCTTAACTTTAAATAAGATGACTACCAAGAGACAACATAAGGACACCTTAATAACAAATAAAATCTATTATTCTTTGATTTAAGTAATATCAACCGTATCCTTCATAGCAGGGTGTAAGCTCTTTACTTTTAAAGTTATAAAAAAATAAATCACTGCTGCATAAATTCAGACGCTATAAATGTTCCACAAAATCATTTGTGGTAAATCTTCCCTTGCCATAGGTCTGCAGCAGGCTGACCTGATGTCATCCTGTAGCGGATAATTACAGCTTTTATCATTATGAATGAGAAGGTGTTGGATTTGAGGCCTTAGTGTTGCATAAATGTGTTCAAGCCAAACATGATGACTGGATTGTGCGCCATATAAAGCCATAGTTCTACAGTATTACGCATGAGTAATCATGCGTTCTTTCTTTGGTCTAGGGGACAATCAAGTGTTGAAAATAAATGTTGAGTGAGATGCCTCTAAATATTCGCTATGAGCTGATACATATAGTGAGTGATGCATTCATTGTTTTTATCCAAAATGTCTCCATATTTTCAGGGGCATTATTGACTATCTCTTTCATGTAGTTGTTTTCACCATCACTGTCACACAAAGTGCAGGCTACATACCTTGGAAGACATCCACATCTCGGTGATCCTCTGAGCAAGAAGATAATCATAGTCCTCTTGAGAAAATAAAATATTTTGTGCACAAAGTCCAGGGGACAGGAAAGGAAGTTGCTCGCAAACTCCCCTTCGAGGAGTTTCCACATTAGAGTTGGTTTTGCTATAGCTTTCCATCTACGTCCGTGTAAAGGGATATTGTCATTTTGAGGTGGTTTAAATGAAACTGGGGATACTGTTGTCGCCAAGGCTCCAAGCCTGTCCTTACATAACCTGGCAGGGCAAGTCATTTCTCCAGCCTTTTTCTAACTCTGATATTTCCTGTGCTTAGCTCTCATTGTGGGTCAACAACACAAGGCTTTTTATGGAAAAGCATATTTATGTAATGTAATACAAATAATTCTAGCCCTGGGTTATTTGATGTCTGGTAAATGCTATGTTTTAATGAGCTTTTTGTTCATACTAAGAGTTGGAGCAGTAACAAAAGTATTTTATCTATCCCAGGCTTTTCCTTTCTTAGAGTCCAATTTGTATTGGCAGAGTATGAAATAGGTTATTAATAACCTTAGTTTGCCTCTTAAAGGAAGTTACTCAAACATTCTTCATCTAAGTGGTCAGAGGATGACTCAATTAATGTCATTTGCATGGCCTACAGTTTCTGTCTCTGAAATAAAAATCAACCTAACCCAGCGCAAATTCTACATAGTGCAAACAAATGTTAACTTTATTGCATAACAGCAAAACGATCGTCCCTACCTTTATACTGACAGATAAAACTGATAAAGTGCGAATGCATAGCCTGTCTTGTCTAGACTTTTAATTTATGACAGATTTGGAAGCCCGAAGTTTAGACAAAATAATTATTAATTAATTAGCCCATTAGGCAAATATTCATCATAATTGTTCCTAAAGGTTAAGGAGAGGGAGAAACCATCGTTGTGAGATGGAGATAATGAAACATTATAATCTTCCAATTGGTGACCTGTGAACGAGTGTTAAGTGTGTATGTTTTGTGTGCGTACAACGTGTGTCATGGGGACCACCTGCTTATAGGCAAACAGTATCTTATAGGGCGTAATCTTCTTTAGGAAAAAATGGTAAAACAAAATTATACTTGTAATCACACGTCAGTCTGTATGGATTTTGAGTTAGTACTGTTTCTCCTGCCTATGTCTGTGCCGTTTCCTTTACTGGGGCTCTTGTCCAGCCCGCAAAGAGACTCCGTGACCCCCTCCTCCATCTCCATATAATCCGCTTTGTCCCCCTGCGTGGAGCCAGAAGGCGAGCCTTTACACTTCCTTAAAAAGTCCGGGAAATACGGGCAGCCCGGGGGCAAGCTCTCCACCACCGGCGCCTGGTCCTCGTTATCCGTCTCCCTGTGGTAAAAGTAGTTGAAGTTGGACACTATGACCGGCACCGGGAGCGCGATGGTTAACACGCCAGCTATCGCACAGAGGGAGCCTACTATCTTCCCACCGACAGTGATGGGCTTCATGTCCCCGTAGCCCACCGTGGTCATGGTCACCACGGCCCACCAGAACGCGTCGGGGATGCTCGTGAACTGCGAGGAGGGCTCGTCCGCCTCTGCGAAGTACACCGCGCTGGAGAACAGGATGACACCGATGACCAGGAAGAAAATGAGGAGGGCCAGCTCCCTCATGCTGGCGCGCAGAGTGTGGCCCAGGATCTGCAGCCCCTTGGAGTGCCGGGACAGCTTGAAGATGCGGAACACCCGGACCAGACGGATTATTCTCAGGATGGCAAAACTCATCGCCTGCTGCCCGTTTTCTTGGTGCTGCGCCAGGTCCGTGCCGAGAGTTATGAAATAAGGCAAAATGGATACAATGTCTATTGTGTTCATAATGTTTTTAAAGAAAACCGGTTTGCTCGGACACGCAAAGAAGCGCACTGTAATCTCAAAGGAAAACCAGATGATGCAAACCGTTTCCACGATGAAAAACGGGTCGTTGAAAGGAGTAAATCCGTGATCAGGTTGAGTGGAGTTGAGTCGTGGCTGTAGATACTCTTTTTCATCCCTGAACTCCGGCAGCGTCTCCATGCAGAAAATGACAATAGAAATGACTATAACCAGCACGGACACCACCGCTATCCCCCTGGCAGGGCTCGAGCTCTCCGGATACTCAAACAGCAGCCAAATTTGGCGCTTGAACTCGTCCTCCGGCAGAGGTTTTTCCTCTTCTTTCACAAAACCCTCATCCTCCCGAAACTTGAGTATTGCCTCTTCCCCGAGCTCATAAAACTTCACCTCCTCGGAGAAAATGTCAAATGGGACGTTTGCGGGTCTTTTCAAACGCCCCCCTGACTGGTAATAGTAAAGAATTGCGTCAAAGCTCGGTCGGTTCCGGTCGAAGAAGTATTCGTTCCTCAGCGGGTCGAAGTACCTGATTCGCCTGTCAGGGTCTCCCAGGAGCGTGTCCGGGAACTGAGCGAGAGTCTTGAACTGAGTTTCAAACTTCAGCCCCGACACGTTGATGACCACTCTCTCGCAGCAGCCGCACTCGTTGTAAACATTTTCGTATCCGGACTGAGGACGCCTGTCAGTGAGCGAAACGGTCTCCTCATCATCCATGTTACACAGAAAGCTGGACCTCTTGCTAACCCGGTCCTCCTCTTCCTCCTCCTCCTCTTCCTCCTCTTCCTCCTCTATCATCATGTCCTCCTCGGATCCGAGCAGCGCCAGCTCCGAGTGGCGCAGGTCCCCGCCGAGAGTCGTCCGGTTGTGTCTCCAGCGTCCGACGCCGCGCTGCTTTTTCCGCTCTCTGAGAACCCTGTGCTGCTGCTCGGGGTCCTGCTGGTGCTGTGGCGGCTGCGAAGAGGAAGAGGAGGAGGAAGAGGAGGAGGAGGGGCGCGAGGCGGTACCGCCGCTGCTGATGTTGGCGTTCGTGGAGGAGGCGGCGCGAGACTGATGCTGGCGGTTGTTAAGGAGATGAGCGCTCGAGGAGGAGGTGGACTCCCCCACGCCGTCCCCAGCACCTCCACCAACACCACCTCCTTCCTCCGCACCGGACCCACCTTCAGTAGCCGCCGTTCCCGACTGGGCAGCCTGGCGCTCCCTCTCGCGCTCCTTCTCCCGTGCGCGAGCTTGGGCATATCCGTAAGGCAGGTGACTATTGCACCCGCCGTCCGCACCCACCATGGCAAACTCCATCTTGAGTCAACGAGCGGTTCGGTCCGTGAGCTAGAGTGACCGCCTCGGGGCGATGTGGAAGGAGGCCAGAGGATAAAAGTTGCAGCTCGGCGCGCGCAGAGAGAGAAAATGAGACATCAACCGGTTCGACCAATCAGTTGTGAATGTGAGAAAGTCAGAATAACAAACACACCTCACATAGGTCCATGTTGAGAGCAGTCCATGTGGCTAATAACGTGATAGGGGGCATTGATCAGCCTATCTTCCCGTTTAGGTACTGGCCCCCAATATGTTATGACATCATTACCATATCCAAAAAACGTGAGGGCCGGTGACAAAGCCTGTTACGCAGGCGCTCTGTTGCAAACTTGCAGCGCCCTTTATTTGTTCGGCATTATTAATCACCAAGTCAACAAGCTACAACCAAAGCAGTCTCTCCTCGGTTTATCCGGTGCCCATCAGGTGGTTAAATTATCCACGACCGCGGCTTGCGCCCAAATGCGTCTCTTGATTATCCGTGGTCACTCCTGGTTGCCATTTTATGTGATAAAAAAACAACTGAATTTGCTGGTATATTGTATAGCTCCAGTGAATCTGAAGGACTTTATTTCGCCGACGCTCCCTGGAGCTGCGAGGAAAAAGACAAGAGAGCATAGCAGTTGGTTTAAGCAAAACAAATGATTAATTCACATATGTCCGTTGTTTTGGCGACTCCATAGTCCAGGATATAACGCATGTTTTGCAATAAAAGGGTGGTAAACTTAATTGGCATAATATAATTATAGTGTTTTATTTTTTATGAATTAGCTGGGGTTTATTATCATTGAGTAGCATGGAGGTAAGCTTTCGGAAATGAATGCATTTAGGTTGAGAACTGACATAACGCATGACATTTCCTGCTTATTAAAATAGCCTCCATTCATTCTCACATTTATACTTACATGTTAAAAGGGGCCAAACGAAATCGCCTTAGCCCCCCCTCAAACAAATCTGGTGGAGGAGGAGGAGGGGGAGGAAGGCTAGGTGAGGATGCAGTTCTTCGTTTCTGCCCAAATTCACGTCTTGATTTCGGGGGTAATTTCACAAATCCTTCGTTATATCCAACCAGCGAATATATCATCCACTCTATACATCCGTGCTCTGACGCACTCCGAGGAGGACACTTTTTGGCTGTGTCTCGACGTCTGCTCTCAATTCAACAGGATCTAACGCCACTTTAGCCCCCGTTTCTGCTGCATCGTTCCCAGTGTGCCGGCAGCAATTATGATTGGAAAAAATAAAAAAAACAGAAGCAGGTGTGCAATCAGCGAGTTGGCATCAATGACAGCTCCACACGGTCACGGCGTAAAGATGTGATGGTGGGTAAAAGTTTACCTTCACACAGGCGAGGGGAAATGGCCCCATGGTGGAGTCTGAGCATCACACATCTGTCTGTCTGCCGCTGTTGCCCTACCTATACTCCGGTATCCCTCCCATTGTGTGTGTGTGTGTGTGTGTGTGCGCGTGTGTGTGCGTGCACGTGTGTGTGCGTGCACGTGTGTGTAAGTGTGTGTGATGCTGGAGAGCTTCGGTGAGAAAGTCGTTGGTGTACCGCAGCGCATGCAGGCGGTGCTCGGTCCTCCCCCAGTGGACGCAGCCGGTCACTGCGCACCGTGCTGCAGTCTCACACCCGAGCCTCCATGCCCTTCATCTCCACTGCTGGGTGGCAACCGGTGTCCTTACCCCGAAATGTAATCCATTACTATCCATCCATTCCTAAAGTAACGTAGATACGTGTACAGCGTAAAACGAAGTACATTTGCCAACAATTGAATCTATTCTCCCAATTTAACAAAACAATTGTAGTTATTTCTCCTTTAGAAATAGGAAGAAAATTCCTGCATGTTTTAGTATTGCTCATAAGAGTTTTTGGAACACTTTTTTTTCTATCTTTTCATCAATTTTACCCATTAAGAAAAACCCATGAATATATTTTACCTTAATCTTCACACGTCTGGGTATCACAGTTTACATTCAGAATATGTAAATCATTGGAAGTATTTAATCCTGAAATTATTATTCCCCCAATGACACATCATAGATGTTTAACTCCATGTTTTACAAACATTACAAAAATGTAAATTTGTCTTAAATGTCCTTCATGGGTTAACAGGACAGCTAAACATCATTATTGTCCAGTGTTTCTGCAACCCCTTCATCGGAGCACTTCAAAGTGAATGGCTACGGATGCCATGTATTCATTCTTTATCTTTCCCTGCGTCCCAGTTTTTGTCAATAGAAATCAGATGGAAAACCACAGAGTTGTTGCAGGGGAACATTCATTAACCAACATTAATTAACTCTAAGGAAGTACTTATTGTGTGATGTATCCCTCCTAAATCAACAGTCCCTGATTCAAGAGTCACCTACGAACAACAAACCTTAAAAACGTGGAATAAGAACTCTTAATGCAGAGTTAAGCACCGGACAATCACTAAATTGAAGTCAATCATGATTCCTAACCTGTAAGAGGTTTGTTTACATCATTAATCTTAAAGCTGCAGTGTGTAACTTTTGTTTCCCCCATCTGGCAGTGGCAGTAATTTCCATATAGGACAAAGCAGCAGCTCAGAGTGTGGTAGAAGTTACGTTTCTGGATTGGATTATACCAGCATTGATCATGACAACAACAACATCTAATATCTAGGTGACTATCCACGGGCCAAACACATTGATTTACATTGTTTGTTCCAGGTTCGATTCTGGAATAATGTATCATATTTTGAAGATTAGTCTAAGATTTACAGGCTAGTACATTTTAGCCGAACCTTGTGAGTGCTTGGTATGAAGAAGTATGAAGGCTTCAAAAATATTCTGAAGAAAAACAGATGTTTTTACTGTTGGCCCTTCCTTGAGGAATCAGAAATGAATGTAGTCTTTAAAAACGTTTTTTAAACTTTAAGAACCAGACATTGCAGCCCCTGGTGATGTATCCGTTGAGTCAAAGTTATTGATCAGCCCCCTATTGCCACCACAGATTTATTTGGATCGTTTTGCGCTATGGGACAGTAAAGTTCTTATTCATTGCCCCTTTGAAACCTCCCAGGTTTAATTTAATTGTTTGGATAATTAGTTTTTCTGCAGGTATACCACCACAAGCCTGGTGCTGGGATACACAGCAATCAGTTGCTATGGCCTATTCAATCCAGTGTGTTTGACTCCAAAACTCTAATGAGGACAAGAACAGCCTGTTATTCCAGAGCAGAACACTGATGCAATATCCCTCTAAGGAATCCTAATCATTCCCTCAGGTGTTTCTGAAATCTCTAGTTGTAATATTCCTGTAGGGATGTTTTTGGTTGCCTCTGCTTCTTTTTCTTAAGAGGACATTTTAACAAAATGTAAAATCCAATGCGGAGGCTTTTGCTTGTGAAATAATCAGTGCCGCTGACAGTGCACATATCACTGTTTTTCTTTTAAAGAGCTCGTATTCAATTTGGCGTCTCTGTATTTTATACTTAGCTAAGACATAAGAAGAACTCTTTTAGTCTGCAGAACATGTAGGCAACCGCAACCACACGCACGCACGCACGCACGCACACACAGACACACACCACACACACAGAGATCCTGCACACTCCTTTTGCAGTTCATTGAGCATCCACCTCAGTCAGCACCAGGGGGAGATGTGAGGTCAGTATTGATAAGAGGTGCTAGAGTGAGGATAGAGGGCACCTTATTACACACACGTTTAGGTGCACTTTGAACTGATGCCAGAGCTGCAACACAGCTGCATCAGCTGACACACCCTCGAAGTATCTTATAGAAACATACACAGTGAACAAACCAGTATACTCAATTCAATCAACTATTTAATTATTTATAATTAAAGTAAGTACTTTTACCCATGAAAATGATTATGAATAATGTCAAAATGTGTTCCCTTTGTGTTATAGCTGATGAGGTCAGAGAAGTTTGAGTTTTGTCACCAAAGTGTAAAAGTTATTATTTGAACAATAACTTCCTAAAAGGACTCACCCAAAAATATTTTATTTTTCTCCTACCTTGAGTTTTATTTATCAATCTAGATATTTTTGGTGTTAGATGTCAGTGTTGGAGCCCCACAATTAATTTCATTCTGTTATAATGTAGCTCGGAAATGTAGTGAACATGAATATCATAAGATCACAATTAACTTTTGACCTGCAATGATCTTTTCTGCAAATATAAAAAGAAAAAGCAATATAAAGAGTTGCCCCTTCTAAATTGTCTTTGCTGACCTCTAGTGGTTGAATGTCTCACCTTGCTGCAGTGATCTACAGGTGACATCACTACCAGAGGCCTGTACTAAGAAGCCGGATTTTCGTTTAGCGAGCTAACTTCAGGGAAAACTCGGGGTTTCCGGTCCTACGACGCTGGTTCTCTTTTTAGCGGGCTAGATCTCCATGGTAACTTATGCTGAGCTTCTAACCTGAGGCCTGTACTACGAATCTAGTTCAACATATCCTGGATATGTTTGAGTTAGCCGGTTGACCTAATCCAAAACAAACGCGCTCTCGCTAAACTGTCTTACGACGCAGGTTATCAACTCGATCGCTCAAGCCAGTCGTACCTACCTACCTACGTATCTAGTTAGGTGCGCGTTCACATAAAAGGGGTGGTATTTGGAGCGATCGACCAATCACAAACATGGACAAGCAGACACTGACAGCGCAACGCGTATACTTCCTGAATGAAAAGTCAACTATAATATTAGACAAATATGAAGACGTTAAACTTTAAACATCCATGACTTAAACACTTTATCCAGGATAAAAGCCACATAGTTGCAGCTGCAAGGTGAATACAGCTGGTAAAAGAAAAAGTGTTTGAATGCGTTCATTAACAGGTTTATGATATCACTGCTGCCCCGTCTAAGACACGAGTGGATCTGACTTTAATTACATTTGACTCGAGTGTTTCGTCAACTTAATGTGTTGCTTAAAATAATACTTCTGCATACAGTATGTGACACTGTAAGTGTTGCACGGCCAGATACGGCT